TTATAGCCACATTCAGGTATGGCCCTGAAAGCAAACACGTTCAATATCCCTCTTTGTTGAGTTCTGACTTGAAAAATTCAGGTCAAGTCAACCTGTCTTTAGGAACCCCAGTGCTGTTATAATGGCCCCATGATAACAGCAATAAAGAGAGCTACCCCAACTAACGAAGGCTAGTCTAGATACTGATGCCACTGAATATCCAACAGAATCCAATGCGTACGCTATAGTATGGAGTCGTCCCTAGGAGGCAGCAATGAGCTACTTGGTTCCAAGGTGATTGATTACATTGGACTCCTTTCATCATTGGACACCTTCCATTATGAATAAAACTGACCCACATTCTTAACATGGCTTTGCCTTGTTTTCTTATAGGACCTCAGTCAGCATCACTATGCAAATATTTGTATAGTGAGCCACTGACACAGAGCCCTTATTATATCACATAGGACAAAACAGAGGATGTGTATTACTGAGAACATGATCATGAAACCCATTTATTCCCTCACATACCACACCCTCAGCAACCACTAGCCTGAAGAGGAAAAGAAACATACTTTTGGAAGTTCACCTAAGATTCTAGCTTGGAGATGGTACCTCAAAAAGATGGACAGCCATCCTCAGGATGCACCCCCCACATACCACACCCTCAGCCACCACCAGCCCGATGAGGAAAAGAAACATACTTTTGGAGGTTCACCTAAGACTCCAGCTTGGAGATGGTGCCTCAAAAAGATGGACAGCCATCCTCAGGATGTATATATATATATGCTAAATCAATATCAATGAAAATTATACAGTTCTATGTATGTAATATGTCGAGTACATGAGCCAAGAAACCAAGTACCACAGAAGTGGCCTCTTTCACTACCACCTCCAGGGTTTTTGCTCATTGAGGGTTTTTGCTTTCTGTCTCCACAACTCTAAGTTGTGTGGATATAGGTCTCCTGGTGATCACTGGTGGAGTTCTACCAGAGGAAATAAGCCAAAGTCTGATTAAAAGTAGTTACAGCTGATGCCTGGTAATTTGTACTTCTTGTTTTAAGGGGCCAGAAAAAGAGTCACCATGCTGTCCTGATTTTCAGAGGGAAGCTATTACCCATTGAACAAGAAAGAATACACCTGATATTAGGTGATATAGATAATCCAATGTTACTCCCCTAAAATGATAATGATAAATGGGCAAGAGCAGCAGTCACAGGCTAAGAAGAATATGGCAACTAGACTCACCCAGGAATTCAGAGGTGGCAGCTAAAGGTGAGGAGAAGGTAGAAGAGGAGCAAGGTGACATATCTAAGTTGCTGCTCTGAAACCAGCTATAGTGTCAGGGACTTCAATTAATTCAATTAGCTATCCTATATAATAAAAGGCTAATATGCAAATTGACCAAACCACCCAACGACTGGTCGCTATGATGCGCTCTGACCACCAGGGAACAGATACTCAATGCAGGAGCTGCCCCCTGTTGGTCAGTGAGCTCCCACCACAGGGGGAGTGCCACTCAGCCAGAATCCCGGAGCCAGGCTCATGTCAGGGGAGCACAGCACCGGTGGCGGGAGCCTCCCCTGCCTCCACAGCAGCGTTAAGGATGTCTGACTGACAGGACTGAGCCATCAGTCGGATGTTTCCCAAGGGCTCCCCTCCACAGCAGCGTTAAGGATGTCTGACTGACAGGACTGAGCCATCAGTCGGATGTTTCCCAAGGGCTCCCAGACTGCAAGAAGGCACAGGCCAGGCTGTGGGATGCCCCCCCACAAGTGCACAAATTTCATGCACCCGGTCTCTAGTATTTTTATAAGTTTTCCCAAGGTAAAAAAAAAAAAAAAAAGATCAGAAGCCCCATTCCCAAAAGATATGATCTTTTTGCATACACAAAAATAGATGAAATTAACAGAAAGAGTATTTTCCCAGCATCTTGAAATACTGCTTGGTAATAATAGTTGTCTCTAGGCTAAACAGATTTAATTTTCTCAAGTTTCCATGTGGCCTTAAAGAGAATCCTGTACTCAACAACTGGTCTAGGGTGGGTACAGAGTCCTGACTCTCTTGCATCAGTAAGGTACATCTGAGCTTCAGAGCTCCTCATAGAACTGCAGGAGATCTCTATCGCAACCACTCTCCTTCCCCTGTCATACTTCCCCCAGCCTCTTAGGTGTGGTGGATGAGATAGAACGTATAAAAGATGCACTCAGAGAAATATTCCAGAACATATCAAATAGGATTCTACAAGCCAATGTTAAGGAGTCTGTGTTTGACATAAGTATAATAAGAAATGGAGGATTTTACCTAGGTGAGTGATATACTCTAATTTTCATTTTGAAAATATCACTTTTGCTGCTATGTGGAAGTGGATCAAAGGAGAATAAAAGCAAGAATACCCTTTAAATGCCTAATGTAATAGTCCAAAAAGGAGTTGTTTGAAATTTGGATACTAAGGAGTTGAACTATGACTATGTTGGAGTGAAATCAATAAGATTCAACATTGAATTGAATTATGGTATGATTTACTAAAATAAAGATTCTTGGAGATCAGGTTAGAGAGATAAAAAGAAAACACTGCATATTTTTATACAATGACTCTTACTGACATAATATATCTATTTTCTACAACTAAACATTTTTTTAACTTTATTCTATTGTTTGAAGTAATACAAATAGCATACATAGAAGCATAACCAATGGACACAAGACATGGGGGCGTGTAAGGATGGGGAGGGCTTGTACCGGGGGGTAGGGGAAGCCAGGGGAAAGTCAATGGGGAAAAAAGGAGACATATGTACTACTATTTGTAATACAATTAAACATTTTTATTAGGGATTTAGTGCCCATTCTGGATTTAATACTGACTTCAACATGCAAATTATAATAAAATTAGGCTTATTTACCATCACATCAACCTCATAGTCAACAACAACAAAAAGCCATATATTTTAGTCATAGTACTTTGGTAGTATAGGCTTAACTTAGAAACTAGGAGCAATAAACATTATTTGAGGCAAAATTGGTTGATTTAAAAAATTATACTAGAGACAGGCAGTTTTTTCCTTTTCTGAGTAATTTGAAAATTCTTAAACATAAAACCTCAAAACACTTTACAATCTTCATTTTACCAGAATCTTACTTAGTTAGATGATTTTATTGAATTTGTCTCACAAGTGACCTGTTATAATATACGTAGAGCAATTATGCAGGTGTCTAAATGTAGCAGAGACTTGGTATCCTAGGTAACCCTGTGCAAGGATATGAAAACTCTCCCAACTAGAAAATGAGTTGGGTCGATGTTCAATTTATGCTTAAGGTTAAAAAGTAAAGAAGCAATCTCTATTTTACAAAAACAAAATCCCTTCCAGATCCTTTAGTTTCTCTAAATGTCTTTGATGGATTAGCTTTGGCAAAGTAATTGCTACAGCTGACCATTATTTTATATTTAGACTGTGAGGATTAAAGTGAGATCAAGTAGGTATAGGAGGAAAATGGTCACAATTAGGCAGTGATGCTTACATTTATTTTAATTAACTCCTCTTTAGACTCTCTATCCTTGAGAGCTTTCCAGATAAATTTCATGACTGAGCCTCTTATTCAACAACTAAGTACATCCATCTCTATTTTCTCTCCACTTTGATCCACTCTTTTCTCTTTCAGACATTTAACTGTCATCCTTTAAAAAAGAAATGTTGAACATGTTTCTTTTAAAGATTTTTTCTGAGAATGAGGACAATTTACTCATGAGTAAAATTAGAGTATGCCATTAGACTTCCAAATAACACCCTGAAACTATGCCAGATATCTTTTACGATAAACCTCTGATGGCATTATGCATCTATATATATAAAAGCCTAAGCTACTGAACGACCAAACGACCAGTCTGCTGGTCGCTATGATGCGCATGATGCGCACTGACCACCAGGGGGCAGATGCTCAACACAGGAGCTGCCCCCTGGTGGTCAGTGCACTTCCACAGCCAACCTCCCATGGCTGACCAACTTCCCGTGGTCCTCCTCCACTGCCGGCATTCATGCTCAACCAGCCCTGATGGGGGGAGTGGCCGGCCAACCTCCTGCAGCCCCTCCGCCAATCGACCAGCCCTTCCCCATCAGCCCCAATGACCGGCCAGGCCAAGGGACTCCACCCGTGCACAAATTCCTCAACCAGCCCTGATGGGGGGAGTGGCTGGCCAGTCTCCTGTGGTCCCTCCCCCTGGCCGGCCAACTTCCTGCAGCCCCTCCGCCAGTCGACCAGCCCTTCCCCATCAGCCCCAATGACTGGCCAGGCCAAGGGACTCCACCCGTGCACAAATTCATGCACCAGTCCTCTAGTAATAATATAAAGGGCAATTGTGAATATTACAGAAATCTAACAAAATGCGTGTTATCATTACTATCACATCACAGACCAATCACTATATGATCACGACCTTATTACTATCAATTAAAATAAAAATCACATATTTTCTTGTAGTCCTATGAAAGGAAAGGAGAAGGAATTAGGGTTATATAAGTGGCATCGTGGTCTTGTTAAATCCTAAGCTTTTCTTTCAACTATAACAATAATCTTTGTGTTTAGAACTATATAAAAGAAACCAAATTCACTCTACTGAATTATTTTCCAAGCAAGTCAGAAACTAATCAAATTTGAATTTCAATATTATTTACGCAAAAATAAAATAGAGCAGTGGGTTTCAAAAATGAATATTTGTATCAATGTATAATTTTCCACTTACAATTTTCTTCTCACCAAATTTATTTCTCATCAGAGTTTGGAATTCCAGCCCAGCCAGTGTGGCTCAGTGGTTAAGCATTGACCCATGAACCAGGAGGTCATGGTTAGATTCCCAGTCAAGGCACATGCATGGGTTGCAGGTTCAGTCCCCAGTAGGGATCAGGCAGGAAGCAGCTGATCAATGATTCTCTCTCATCATTGATGTTTCCATCCCTCTGTCCCCCCTCCCTTCCTCTATCGGAAGTCAGTAAAAACAAAGAGATAACATGACATCCTTCTGGAACTTGCATTCTAGTGAGGAAGATCAACTTTAAACAAATAAACAGTCACATCAAATAATTGCAGTTGTCATGAGTGCTAAGGAAGGAAATAAACAGGAAGTGCGAGAAGTTATTTAGCAAGGTTAGGCATTTAAACGCCCCTAAGCAGATAAGTTTCATCTTATAATAATAAAGCCACCAACACAAAGTAATTACAATTCTTAAATTGATGACAAAAATACCTGTAGGATTTGCAGCTGGTTGGAAAAGTACAGGTAACTTATGCTTCGAGTAGGTACTTTTGCCACCCGCGTGAGATTTGCGGCCGTGACTAGCACTAACCACTGCACAATGAGACTGCTGACTGACTGGCTCACTCAACTCGGACAAGAATCGCTCACCTGCTCGCTTCCCCCACGCTATGTATCCCACGCTACGTATCCCACGGCCGTATCCCGCGGCCCCCTGCGCCCTGTCTCCTGTTGCCTGGCCAGACCGACACCCCCCACTTCCGAACCACTTCTTCAAGATAGACTCGCCCAGGCCAAAAACCGACTTCTGTGCATGGGCCACGAAGTTTCAATCGCACTGTACGTGGTATTTTGTGGAAGAGCCACACTTAAGGGGCCAAAGAGCCGCATGTGGCTCGCGAGCTGCAGTTTGCAGACCACTGCCCTAGGATAAGTGAAGAGAAAGTCCTCTGCAATCTATAAGTGTCTAAGCAAATAATGTTTACTAATGAGTTCTTTCTCTATTCTAGATGAATCTATCTGCTATGGTTAGGGGCAAAAATAGAATATAGTTATGGGAAATATTAGTCATGCTCTGTTAACCATGATTGTTTTGTATTGGTTAAAGAAAGGACATTCTAACCTGATTGGGGGCTATACTCCTCAGAGTCAACCTTGGACCTGGGAGTCAACCTTGAATGTGGTCCATTCTCATTCAAGAATTTCTTATTATTATGGAAAGATTAACAATGGCGTTGCCCAGAACAATGGCATCCCACTCCAGCCCACAGTGCCTATTTCCCCATGTCATCTTTGTCCTACCCTATATAAGCAACTGGCTTATGGGGGTCTGCAGAGCAGATTTTTGTGGATGACCTACTGCTCTCCCATACTGCTGGCGTTATTGGAATAAAAATTTATCGCTGAGTAATTGGCCCAAGTAGTGATAGGCAGTATGGACCCATTGATTGTCTGGTTACACTATTATTTTCTTTTCAAATGTAAAGGTTGTGCCATTCAAAAAAAAAAAAGAAAGAAAGAAAGAAAGAAAAGCAAAAAATAACAAACAAGCAACATGGTTAGGAACTAGAAATTATTCCAAAAACATGTCTAAAAGGTTACACTTTTTAAAGTTTTAATAAAGTGTTTTGAATATAAACTTCAGGAAAAGAACTTGCAATTTGCCACAATTAATTAAACCTGAGGGAATAAAATATTTTAATGGTAAGAAGGTGCTCTGTGGAGAACCAAAGAAATTTATTGTCAAAACAACATAATTTTTAATAACAGATATTTTAGTGAATGGGTAGTGGATAAATGGATATCTTTCATCAAATAATAGAAAAATATCTGCCTCAGAATGCTAATCATTTTTCTGTCTGAAGGCATGAAATAGACCAACTCAACATTCTCTGAAACCTTCTTCACAGCCTTTGGCTACAAATAGTCCATAAAGTCAAAAGATTTCTTCTTCCCCTCCCGATTTTGAAAAGTTAATATTTTGACATGTTTTTGTCTTATCTTTCAAGACACAGAACTTTAGTAAGTCTTCAGAGACTATTTGAGAAACTTCTAGTTACTATCTATAACTCTAAGTTTAGCACTAAAATTTACAGGTTTGAACACAGGCATATTTATGTTTCAAAATTTACTGTTATTTGTTTTAGCATAATTGTTTTAGCACACTGACCGTTGACCCAGAAAACACGATTTTTCATTTCTTAAGTCATTTATTTTTTTTAAATTTTATTGGGTTTATTGGGTTGACCCAGGTTAACAAAATTATACCGGTTTCAGGTGCACAAATCCATAACACGTCATCTGTACACTGTATTGTGTGTTCAGCACACCAAGTCAAGTCTTCGTCCATCACCATGTATGCCCCTACCCTCCTCTTTGAAAAGAATTCTCATTCTCGACAGAACCAGTTTTCGATGGGTCAAGACATGTATCTTCTTCTACATTCTGAAAATATGCAGCTCTTTTTGTGCACAGAACACTTTTTTTTTTAACCAGAAAAAAGTCCTTTCTACTAAAAGAACATGATTCCCTCAGGATGAAATTTTATGTAAAAACAAAGAATAACATATTTACTAAGCATTACTGTGTGCAAGAAGCTTGACATAAATTATTTCCAATTCTCAAAGCTCTGTGAGGCACAGACAGGAAAAACTGAGGCCATGGAGAGGTTAACTAACATGCCTAAGTTCACACAGGGTAGAGAAGTCAAGGTGAAAAAAACAAGTTTATCTAACCACAAAACCTGTGTTCGCTACTCACTGTTCCCTGAAGGTCTCCAGCCAGGAAAAGTTCCTTCTGAGAGATGATGATTCACCCTTCTGTGTATCATTTTCCTGACCATTTAATGTTATGGTTTTCTTGCAGGAGCTTTTCAAACTGAAAATATGTCTGGTAAATCTTTTCCTAAGTACCACCTACAACTTAGCCTTAAGCATACCTGCACGAATATTTTTTATAGCACAAATTATTATGTTCCAAGCTCTGTGCATGGAGTTGATGAATCTAATCTAAATAAGAAAATGTTCCTACTTTTAAAGAACTCAGTAGTTAGAACACATAACACATAAGCAACTTAAAGTTTACATTTTGCCAGAGAAAAAGACAAATATTTAATGGGTGTTTTCTGTGTACTAGATTCTTCCCATTCCTTGTTGTCACTTAGCTCTACAAGGTTAGTATCAGTGACCTCTTGGTGTTGACCAAAGGTCAAGTTATCTACTTAGAGATAAGTGAACATGTAAGAGGAAGAGTTGGAAGTTGGACCAAGTATGTGAATTCTAAAATATAAGCACTTCCGTGTCTACCACACAGCTTCCTCTAAAATTTATGTTAAAATAGTTTAAAAGGATACTTTCCATTTCAGTTAAGAAATGTTGAGAGCTGGAAGTATATCGTTCCTACACTGACAAGAAAAAAGCTGGAAAATGATAAGTTAACTACTTCACCTGAGGGAATTGAGATTGCAGAGCAAACTAGCCAAAAATATGTTTAAAAAAACAACAAACAAACAAACAAACCAAAAAATTGACTAAAAGGAGAAACAGGCAGTTGCTTACCTGGGACAGAAGTTTCCAAATATCACAAAATCCAGGAAGAGGAGTCATTTTTATAATTTTTTAAACAAATCTCGAAGGGTTACGTGTGGGCTAGTGTTGAGTTTTGAAACCCATAGGAGATGCAGACCTATGGAGACCGATACCCTGTGGGCTTTTCCTTCTGGAACCCCAGTGAGTTCCACCAAGATTAACAAATATGGCGAGAAAACTTCCTGGGGTGCTGGCAGGACAATAGCAGCCACTCAGAGTCATCTTTGCTATTTCCCCTCAGGAACAAAAGCCTTCCCCTGCCAGAGAAGAGTTAAAGCCTGCAGCCTGAGGGCCCTGATGCAAACCCACTGCTTCTGGAAAGGGGAAATGGGAAAACAAAAGGAAAGCCTGACTCCTAGGGCTGGGCGGGAGCACAGGCAGTCCTTGGGTTATGTCGGACTCGACCTGCGTTGTTTCCTGGTTACGTCACCATCTCCCATTTATTTATTTAAAAAAAGTCCATCATTTCGACATATGTACAAATGTACTTTATGTGTTTTATTATTTAACACAAGTAAAGGTCAGGAATTGTTATCTTTCTTTTAAATTTTTTTTACTGTTTCACTTCATTGCTGCTGTGTGTGCGCTCCATGTGAGTGATGTAGGTGCTTATGTAGGTGGGTTCCGACTTATAGCGAAAATCGCGTTGCGTCGCCATAGGAACGGATCTCCCATGTAACCCCAGGGCCTGCTGTACCTGCCAGACTTTGTATTGCATCTAAAGCAGCGGTTCTCAACCTTTGGGCCTTTTAAATACAGTTCCTCATGTTGTGACCCAACCATAGAATTATTTTTGCTGCTATTTCATAACTGTAATGTTGCTACTGTTATGAATCGCAATGTAAATATCTGATCTGCAGGATGGTCTTAGGCGACCCCTGTGAAAGGGTCGTTCAACCGCCAAAGGGGTCGCGACCCACAGGTTGAGAACCGCTGATGTAAAGAGAGACGGACCTTTTGGGAACACCACACTCCCAAGACTGGGGGTCACAGTGCCTGCAGTCACACGACAACCAAACCGGACAATTTATGCTTCTCCAAAAAGTTCTATGCGTGCCCCGCTGGATTGTTCCAGGTGTACACTTACTGAGTTTAAGCCATGCATTAAGCACTATGCCTATACTGTACCACTGGGAACAAAATGTGTTCTCTGCTTCCTTAAGATGTTGTAATCTAATAAAGAGATATTCAAGTGTACCTGCCAGAAATCGAGTCTAACTCACTGAAGCCAAAAAGGGATTTATTGGCAGGATATCGGATTGAACTGAGGTTTAGGAACCTGGCAAAATCCAACAAGCTCTGAAAGCAAAGGCATTAAGAACCACAAGGAAGGATTTGTCTTGCCCACCGGGTTGCTGCTGTGGCAGATATAAAAGTGACCTCTAACTAGCTCCCTGTTTTCTTATTACCCCTTTAAGTTTGAAAGTCCCGAAGGAGAGAATCTGATTGACCAATACATGTTCTATATTGCAATCTGACAATCTGTGGTGCTATTCAAACATTCCTTATGCAAGCTAGAGGATAATGATTTGGCTGGAGTAAAATTTCATTTTTCTTTAGGTATATATTTTAAATAAACGTTGAGGCATAATGTGTGTACAATAATATTCAACAATTTTAAGTGTATAATTCAAGGAGTTATGCCAATGCATGGTACCCTCATGTTTACATTTCCATTCCCTCAAAATTCCTCTGTGTCTCATTGGAAGTAAATACCCAGAAAACCACTCTTTTTCTTTCCGTCCTTACCTTGTAGTTTTTCTTGTTCTGATTTAATGTAAAACCAAGTCAAACTGTTTAATTTAAATAAAGTAATACAACATATTCAATTCTGTATTGGCTTCTTTAGCGCAAAATATTGTTGAGATTCAATTTTGTTGTGTGATTTAACACCCAAGATTCCAGGTTTTGCTATTGTTGC